TACTAATTTCATGCTTTCATACCCTGTAACCTTGGGAAAGTCACCTAACCTTTTTGGATCCCATCATAAGCATTGATATTTCCTACTTCACAGGGTTGTTGTCATGTTTGAGTTACTAGGGAGGAAATGATCAGGAACTGTGTGTCATCTTAGTCTGAGTTCCTTGAAAGTAGAGCCTGAGACAAGGACTTAGGTCAGGTGGTTTATTTGGGAGAGATCCCGAAAAGTGGGAGTGAAGGAGTAGAGAACATTGGCAGTTAAAAAAAAGAAAAGAAAAACAACTCACCAGTGTAGGTTTCCATAGTCAGGTTTTCTGCTGTGGGTCAAGTGGACGTGGAGAAGATAGAGAGTGTTATAATGAAAGCCTCCACCAGTTATCCACTCAAATGACAAGAGTTTTGGGGGAACTACTCCATTAGCTTTTTCCCTCCCATTGTTTGACATCCTCCATTTCCTTTCCCCACTACTTCGTGTCTCTTGCACACAGGCAATGAAGGCACCTCTGACTTTAGAGAAGGCCCAAGAGTTGGCCCTGCTTGAAGTGGGGACTGTCAGGCTGTGTGTGAGCTTACAGTTGTCTCCTGCTGTCATGGCTGAAATCTGAGCGTGGCCCGGGGGATGTGATGCAGGGTACCAAAGTGCCTGCTGCAGGGTCACACAGACATGATCTATTTATCCCCTCCTTTTATCTCTAATAACAACTTCTGACTTCTTTTGGCTTTGTTAGTAGGTTAGGGCTTGACCCCTGTCTTGCAAATAAATTTTAAAAAATGAAATCAGGTCCTACTTTTCATTCATCCCCAAGATTAGATTTTCTGTTTCTATTTCACTATATTCTGCCACTTCTTCCATGACCTTTACCTGGCCTCGCCTTGTTCGTCCTCAGATCTCTAGACTGGGCCAACCCAGGGACTTAACCATGATGACGCTGTGAGAACAAATGCAGCTTACAGGAGAGACATGTTACAGGCTGTGTCCCATGGTCGCGTGACCTTGGCAGGTTGTAGCCCTTTGTGCTACCTCTTACTTGCAAAGCTGGGGGAAACCATATCAGCTTCATATTGGGAAACTAAGTGAGATTATATACGCAGAGCGACTAGCACCTTTCTTTCAATGTTGCTTTCATTCTCTTATCAGTTTCTCAGAAAGCTGTATTTTTTTTTATGACTGGGAAAAAGATATTTAAAATGAAAAGTAGTGTCTTTATTTAATCTGCTGCCTGGTGTCTTTTAGGATGAAGATGAATTAGAAATTAGCGCCAAATTCACACAGCTGCCAAAATGCAGTGTGCAAACTTCTTCCACTCCCCTTCTTTTTCTTCCAGCACCTTCATTAAATTTAGTCTGTCACTTATAGAATTTTTCATCCAATTTTATTAATTCACTTATATGTATTATTATACTGAATACTTTTCTGAATTTGTCCAGTTTATTCTATTGCTAAAATAGTCTCTCCTGCCCCTCTTCTGTTTTTTCTCCCTTCTTCATCCTGCTTACTAGTTTCATGTGGAATCTTTTCAATTTTATTTATTCTTCCACTAGCTTTTCTTCCCCTAATATATTGAGTGTCTTTTTGGTGTAAGGTACACATCTGCTTAGGTTTCAAGGATTTTAAAGGTAGTGTGTTCTCCCTCAAAGGGCACAGAAGTGGAGGCAATACATATAATATTTATATTTATATTTTTATATTTATATTTTTATTTGTAATACCAGAGACAGTGATGATTTACAGGGTACAAGTGTAGCTGAGTTACTGGAGAAGGGCACATTTTTAACTGGAAAGGTGTGAGTGGAGGTAGATAAGTTGTGAAAGCCTATGAAAGAGGAGCAATGGAAGATGTATTATGCCTTCCTTAATTCCTGTTGAAAGCAAAACATTAATTATTAGGCTTAATTAACTACGCTTTTCAATTCATAATTGGACATTTTTTATTCGCTTTTTATTACAAAGGGTCAATGCACAAGGAGAAGGCTTAAACTGGCATTTATTAGGAGGATGTTAGGGGAGTAGGCTGTACTGCATATCTTGTTTCAGATCTCTTTAGCACAGTCCCCATGATTTTCAAAATATGTGTCTTTAGTGGTAAACAATAAGAGCACATAGAAAAGACCGTAAGGCACAATAATGTTTCACATCATCAAAAGAAGCCTAATTTGTATTAACTAATTATATCATGACAGTGGTGGGGAAAATACTAGTATGGTTTAGAAAGTTGTTTTTTTTTTTTTAACAAGAATGGAATCAATACCTACAAAAGCATCCTTCTGCCTGTCCCTGAGCAAATTGCCCTCATCTTTTGAAAAGTGGCTTCATGGAGAGAGATTATCACAAGAAATCTTGATACTGTCCTCACCTCACCACTCCTAAGCAGTGCTGTAAATTTATGACTTAAAGTAGAGATTTGGCAGTAAATTGGGGGCAGGATTCTTTCTTGTCTTTTGTGAAGTCATTTGTTCCTTTGGAGAGATATCAGCCCTGGATTCATTCCATTTCAAAATTGAGATGCCATTCTCCCAGCTGAGATGAGTGGGTTCATTTTGCACTGTGATCACAATTTAGATCCTATTGAATGGGCTGCCAGGGTTTGCTTTGTAATGTTAGGCACACTCCTTGTTGCAGTCCTTAGGCATGGACCAGAGCATGTAACTGAAGCTATGCAAGAAAAAGAGAGAAGGGGAGAGAGGAAAGGAAGGGAGGGAAGGAGGGAGGGAGGTAGAAAGGAAGGAAGAGGGTAAGGGAGGGAGGGAAAGAAAGGCAGCAGGAACCCAGTAACCCTGGGTCATCAATAGGAATAGGCATTGGTGGTCCAAGGTACAGATTAACACTGTACTAAGAAAATCATGTAAGCAGTGAACTTTGAACCACACTTTGATCTTCGAGGAGTGGGAAAATGCCAGGATGGTGCTGAGTATGACTGATGCTTCGTAGGAAAGTTGCAAGTAACAGAAGCAAGCTGCCTTGACTGGTAGGATCAGTCATGTCTTACATTATCTGGAATCTTTGCCTTCTCACCTGAGGGTGCATCTACCACCCAGGTTCTCAGACTGAACCTAGGAGTCACCATGAATTCCTCTCTTTTCCTCTCCTGCTCCCAGTCCACCTTCGAAAACGATCTCAAATCCTTTTGACTCCATATCCAAAGTGCACCCCAGACTTCACCGTCTCCATTTCTACTGCTACCTCCTTAGTCCAGATCACCTTCATTTCCTGCCTTTAGCAGCTTCTCGAGATCTCCTTGCTTCTGTTAGTGGCCTTTTTAGGTCCAGTGCACCCATAACAACCAGAATAAGTTTTAAAGCTTAAGTTAAATCATAGGATCCCCTTACCCAAAACCTCCCAGTGACTCCCAGATACATTTAGAACAACATTCAGGTTTTGTACCATGTCCTTGGGTCCTCTTAGGATCTGGCCTCCGCTTGCTTCTTCACTTTCTTTCCCACCACCCTCTCTCCTTTGGACCCTGGCTCTAGCCACCATAGGATTTGTTGTGGTGGTGGCTCCAATGTGCCAACTTTATTCTGGGCTTCTGCTCTTGCTGTTTCCATTGCCTCGGATGCTTGGTTCCTTATCAGATGCACCTCTGGAGAGAAGCCTGCTCTGACCACCTCAATTAATAGCTCTCCATCCAACCAGGGACTTAGGGCAAGAGTGGAGAAGCCACCTTGGAGAGGCCTTTCCGAGACTTGCTATAAAGTAGCCCACCCTCTATTCCTGCTCTTCACCCGAATTACTTTTCATCATATCCTCCTGTTTCGTTTTCATCATAGAACTCAACTGCATTTTATAACCACCTTATGTTCTTTAGCTTCGTCCTCCCTCATTCCAAACCAGGCTGTAAGCTCTTTAAGGGCAGGGACCTTATCGGTCTTATTTTCTCTGAATCCTCCACATGGAATGGTGCCTGATCCCATGTTGATGCTCAGTTACCATTAGTTAAATGTATGAATTGATGGTCTCCATGACATACTGCCAGAGGTTGGCAACAGTGCTCTATTAGAGTAGAACATGAGCCAAGGGAAAGGGGATGTCAGCCCATAGTTGAATATGCTGTATATGTGGCAGACTCGATGGTCCATTTACTTACTCAAATTTAGTACTTATTGGTGGTGTTTTCAGTGGTTTTTAACTAGAAGCAGGGTCTCCAGGAGGGTGCATGTGCTCAGGGTGAATAACGGGGATCACTTGTCTTTCTCACATACCTCACAGATAGACTTCTTAACATAAGACTTTTGAGAAAGCTTCCACTGTTCATATCTGTTGTTAGAAGCCCTTTCTGAGACTCCAGAACTCCAGTGAGAATAGAGAAATCTGTTTGAGGCTTTTCACCCAATTGCCTGTATAAGTAAATGATTTAAAATTTCTTTCCAAGGTAATGAATGCTTTCAGGAAAAAAAATGAGTGTATAAAAACAAAACACCTCTTATTCTCTGTTGGAGTGTCAACCTGAAGAAAACAACCAGAACCTGAAATTACTTTCGACAGAAAATAAGATGCTTCTTTCCTATTTCTCTGCTACCCTCCCCTCCTTGCCTTTGCCTTTACTTGCCTGACCTACTCTCTCTTTCTTGCTCTCTCTCTTGGGGGAGGAAGACTGATAAAATATATGGTGCTGTAGGCTTAGTAAACTGTTTGCCATAGCTCAGCTGGCCCAACCTAGGGTGCTGGTGGAAATGAAGGTAAGTTTTCTCTTTTTAAATGTATTTGGTGTTCTTTAAACCTAACACAGTCATTTTGAGTATCATACCATTGACATGTGTAATCACGTGCCTTTTGCTATACCTTTCTAAGGGACTGAATTTCCTATTTTGCTATGCATTGTAGCAGTTTTGACTTGTGTCAAACATAGTTCCAAGAGAAATCAAGTTGTTGTTTCTTTCTTTTTCTTGCACAATTAGAAAGATATTCAGGTAATGCAAAGTGATTACGGTATAGATATTGCCCTCTTCATTCCTGACCCTTTACCCCCAAGCAAAGTAATTTTCCAATCTTACCTACCCACTTTTGGAGATAGTCTTTTGTGGCAGATGGAAGGAATTTCTACTCCCTGTGTATGAGCAAAACCACCTGGTTTGGGCAGGTTTTAGAAATTTATTGACAAATGAATGTTTATCAGAGTGCCTTGTAGTTATACCGGTTATGTTGCTCCTGGGGGGAATAACAAATTCATTTATTATGAACAGTCTACTAAAAAGCAACAATAAGAAATAAAAAGAAAACAACTAAATAGGTTCAAAATAATTAAAATCCAAAGTCCACCTGTGAAGGTGTGTGCCAGTAGTAATACCCAAATACAGATTTTCCCACACACTCCCATTCCCTGTTCCCCCCCAGAGGGAACAATCTGCTAATATCTGAGTGTCATCTTCCTCCAAGCAACCAGCAGTGATTTCTCTCTCAAAGAATGCCTTTCTCCTCATTTTTCACGTCCATTTTGGTATTAGTTCTGAGTTCTTAAAGAAATAGGTCTTCCGCAGGGTTACTCTAGGGTAGGTCAAGAAAATACTCTATTTGTATTTTTCATCTGTGATGTTCATCAGAGAATTATACCATCTTTGTCGAGAAATGTCTTAATTTAAAGAGATGATGCTAAGTGAGTTTGCAGTGAGACTAGGTCAAGAGTGAGAATTCCAGTCGTATCGCCCAACGATTCATTAAGGCTCTTTTCCCTGTGATAATAAACAATCGAACACTTCTATAGACCTCTGCATCTCAGAAATCTTCAGCTATAATTTTGCTTCTTTACTCCAGTCATGGAGGTCATTACTTGAGAAATTCAACTACAAGGTGTCAGATAAATTATTCGTTTTCTGTATTTAGAGCAAACAATGATGAACTAAGCAGCCTAAAGGGATTCAAATGTTTTTTCCCCTTTGTGATCAATATTTACTACTTAAACTATAAAAGAAGAAAGCATGCATCTAATACTTACATCCAATAGGTACCTAATCACAGATCACATTTCTCCTGGGTACAAAAAAAGAAAAAGGAACATTAATGGCTTTGACTATTCTTTTTAATTTTTAAAATATTAAATTCCCTTGAGTTCCTTTTAAAATTCCAACTTAAAAAAGAAAGTTTCCCCTCCTTATCTGGACCATCCTTTTTGTTATGGGAAGAACTTTTTACACTCATTGTTTTACTGAAGCTACTTCACTGGATTTGCGCTTGAATCTGGCAGGGAAGTCTTCCCTAGACTAAATCCTCCTTCTTTGAAAACCTAACAGTTTGTATGTTTCAACTTTCAGCTCATGTCTACATCTTCTGTCACTTATCAATCCCATTTTATGCTTAGTCTACAGATTAGATTTGCTCTTCCCCTCTGTTTGCCTACATTTCCAGCTGAGTTTAAACATCACTTTCTCTCTGGTAGGGATGCATTGACCTTTTGGCTTGATTAAAGATAAATGCCATTGACTCTCCACTTTTGGAAGATGTGACTTTTTTTTGAAGCTCGCTAAGATTTCTATATATATTGCTTGAAAATAAATATTGAATAATACCAATTTCCCTGCCATTTTAATGAGATGGGTATGGATTTTTCCCCTACTGTCAGAGTAACGAGAATTATTGGGGTGAGAGACAGCAATTGTAGCCAAGTAGTAGGGCATGAGAGGTTTTAAGTCGTCGTTGTCGTCGTCGTCGTCGTCGTCGTCTTCTTCTTCTTCTTCTTCTTCTTCTTCTTCTTCTTCTTCTAACATGTCTGGTCATAGACCATCACATCCTAAAGTTTTAGAGTCAAATGGACAGTTAAATATTTTTGTTTGAATTTGACCAGAATGGACATATCAAGGAAAAAAGAAAATTCAAAGCACCTGCAAAATGTCAGCAGCATTTTAAACACACTGGGCTAATTGCAAAGCTTGTTTTACTTCTCTGTGGCTAATATGACACTAATGTGGCAATTTTGCTAAACTGTGACTGTGTTTGTGTTAGTATTTCTCTCTCTTGTTTTTTCCCCAATCATAAAAATTAAGTGATGTGCAAAAATTGCTTAAAGAATGGATGCCACCTAGATGTTTAAATAGTCTGCCTTTGTAACAGTTCTGCCTTCATAACCAATATTTTCTCTGTCTTTCTCTACTTTCTTCTTTCTTATTGAAGCATTTGCTTGTAGAATAAAGAGGATAAAGGCACACATGGAAAAAACAAAGGCAGATTTGTTTCTTCTGAGAACATCTGTTCTTACTTCAAAGCACCCACATGATGTAGCCCATTTTGTCTCAATGCCTGCACAGTTTGCTATTGTAAAGGCAACTGATACATCAATCTTAGATCTGAATTTAATGAATAATGAACAGTACTATCTAGTGACATGACATATAAGAAAAATCCTATTATAATGCATATACTTTAGGTAATATTAAGGTAGGCATACTCACAAAAAAAAGCTAAGATTGAATACAAAATGGCTTATTATGGAGTTTTCCCCCCTAGGATTCGTTGATCTCCTGGCATCAGACACAATTTTGGGTGCATTCGGTCCACTTTAAAGTTCATTGATTCTTAGAATTCTTGTGAATTTGCATTGTACTTGGGATATAGGTACCATCTGAAAAAAATAAATAGAAATTATTTGTTGTGTACATTGTAATCAAGAGAGATCTTTTTACTTTGAAAATCTTTATTTTTCAAGAAGAAAATCCCCCCAAACTTCAACTGCTGTCATCACTCATATAACCAGAATTCAATAGCAACACTAATAACTCAGAATTAAAGGGTACAGTTTAAAGTTACATAGTTTAAAATATATTTACCTAGGTGATACTACTTTTAAAATTTTCTTCCCTAAAGAGTATATAATACCTCAGTCTTGGAGTAGAGAAAGGGGTGGTGTGGCCAGTGAAAGCTATATAATAAAGCTTTCAAGAGCACTTAAATAAAAATGTATTGGCCTTAGCTGATGGTTTCCAAAGAAATAAATACCTATGTAAACATCTGTTGCTCTATAAGTGCTCATTAAAGTACCTACTGTGTACCTAGCCTTGTGGTCTGTATGTTGGATCCAAATGTATTGTGACATATTTCAGATGTACAGTAACCAGAAAGACATATTGGTCAGTTATGTATTTCATCTTTTTTTTCCAAGTTATTTCCAAAGATAAAGCTTTCTACATAGCGATTGACTAATCCAGGAAGACTTAAGTGGTATCTTTCTGCATGGGCTCAGCTACCCACAAAGAGAGAGCAAACTTGGTCTAAGTTTTCTTGTTCTATGCAATCTTCTTTGTCTTTCAAATTTACATTTCAGTTAAATGGTGAGCAAAACATGACACCCCTCCAAATTCTTTTCATGCCTCAGTGTTCATCTCAACAGCTTTGTGCCTAAATATTATAATTCCTTGTTGAACCTGATTCTCCCAAGGTACACTTGAACATCCTCTTGAACATCTTGATCATGGATCTTTAAAGAAATCTTGGTTTACTCCTTTATTTGGAGGCACTTTCTACTGAATATTCTTTTGACCAAGAAGGTTTCGATTTTGGAATTTCACATTATTTCATTTCTTAGATTTTTAGATCTTTTTGGAGGATGATGAACAATGAGATAAATCTGGGACACTTCACATTCCCTTCAGGAGCATTATTTATCATGGGGTTTAGACTGCAACGGTATTACTGTGGTGATTACTGTGGTGATTTCTATGGTTGCTGAATTCTGGTAGGACCTTGGGTTAATGGCAAAATCATGTTAAGAATGCATATTACTGAACTCTTTTCTCATCCAATTGATGGATACTCTCCAAAAGCCAGACTGGTGTATTATGCCTAAGTGACCAAATAATTCTAAAAAAAAAAAAAAAAAAAAAAAAAGTATGATGAATTTCCTATGTCATCAAGAAATTCATCTGAAATCTAAGACTTTGGGAAACAAAATGACAGCTGACTATATTTCTTATAAATGTTCACTTCCATTGTCATTTTAGAGCTTTATATCTGTAGACAAAAGGAGGGCACCTATATCTCTACTGTTTTGTCAATGTCCATATGAATTGAAACTTTTGCTTTTGGAAACAATAGTGGAGCATCCTGTTGAGTCAGCGAAAGTAGGAAGGGCTAATGGTGGGCATAGGATTCCTTGAATGCTATGGGTCATGTGCACCAGTGTGGCTTTGACAGTTCTGATGCCATAATTACTACTTTCAGAATGTATTCTAACTTTGACACTTACCATCGTCCTTAGGCAAAGGACCTGAGACCTTGTATGCGGGGCAGAAGCTCAATGACAATGAATGGCACACTGTTCGGGTAGTACGGAGAGGAAAAAGCCTTAAATTGACTGTGGATGATGACGTGGCTGAGGGTGAGTACAGCTATATGTAGTGAAATTTGTCTCTCATCATTCTCATTGTCCTCTTGGTCATTCAGTAAGCAAAGGGTTTTTCTTTTGTTTTAAATGTTTTATTTTGCTTAACAACAGTCATGTGACATGTTCTCTGTTGACAAGCTCAGGTAAGGCTAAGAAGGTCTTCCTCTGTATTTTCATAATCCCTTTTCATTGATCTGTATTATAGAACTTACCCATTACTGTCACTTTAAGTTGATGGGTCTCTCTCCTTAGGCATAGAATATGTGTCTGGAGAGTAGATGTACAGTTCTGTAGATCCTTTATTATTCATTTATTCAAAAATCACTTATCAATCATCTTCCCAGGTGCCAGTATCTTCTCTCAATAAGTGACTTACTCTCTAGCAGAGGGAGATGAATAAACCAGAAATTCAAACATTATAGGTAAAAGTACGTACTTAGATCACTATAGGATACTTAGAAAGGGCTTTACTTATTCATTTATTTAACCATTAGCAATTATCTACCCTGTTCTGAGCACTACTGTAGAAGACAATGAGAGTATGGAGGTGAACAAATAGGCAAGTCCTTGGCTAGGTTGGAATTCACATTCTAGGAGGACAACATATAAATGAATGAATCCCTACATAAGTAAAGGAACATTCAAAGCTTCAGACAAGCAATAAGTATTTCTTGAGAGCCTGTTACATATCAGTAGTGTGCTAAGGATGTAGAAAATAAGAAGGAAGCACAAGAGATTACCTGTTTCCTCAAATAATGAGCCATTCAGTAGAGTAGATAGGACCCAGGTATTTGAAAATAAGACAAAGAGTATGTAATGAGATTCCAACATGCATGGGTGAGATTGTCATTATTGGCCAGAAGAGAAAATTATCATTTTGGGCTGGAGAAAGCAGGAGTGGCTTATGAAGGTAGCTAGTTAGCCCAAATTTGATGGGTAATTTAATGACTTCTGGGGTGGAAGAGAGAGGGCATCCTCCATGTTGAATCCAAATAAACCTATACTCTCTAATATTCCAGAGCAGTGCACATATGTTATGCAGAATTATTGTCCATATTGGAAAAGAAAACTTGGGGGCAGCATGGGGTATTATAAACACTGTTGGTGTCAGGAGACCTAAGGCTCTGGCATTAATACTCTGCCAGATGTTGGAAGAGTCACTTACTATTTCTGGTTCTTGTCAAATGAAGTCAGTGGTGTAAATTGTCTCTAGATTCTTCTGTGAATAAGATAGTCAAGTTAGAGTCAGGATCCCTGGGGTTTAATAAAGTCATTGTAACCAAAATACTTGTTGCTGTTGGGACAGATATGATAAATCTCTTTTTCATTTCTCATTTTAATTTTTAAAATTTTTTTAACATGTTTATTTTTGAGACAGAGAGAGAGCATGAGCTGGGGAGGGTCACAGAGAGAGGGAGACACAGAATCCGAAACAAGTTCCAGGCTCTGAGCTGTCAGCACAGAGCCCGATGAGGGGCTTGAACCCACGGACTGTGAGATGGTGACCTGAGCCAAAGTTGGACGCTTAACCGACTAAGCCACCCACGCGTCCCTTCCTCATTTTTAAACTTGAAATTCTATTACTGCTAAGGTCCTCTCCAGTTTAAAAGTCCTACAATTTTAGGTCCTATAATTTAATTTTATATTCATGAGCTTCAATACTTATAGAGTCTGTAATTATAGTGAGCCGGGCATGTAGGGAAAGGTGTGCGTGTGTGTGTGTGTGTGTGTGTCTGTGTGTCTGTGTGTAGGTAAGGAGACTCTATGGATAGAGGAAGAGTAGGAGGCATATATTCAGTGCCCAATAGGCATTAGATACTGAGATAGCTGTCTAACATATATCAGCTCCTTAAATCTTCTGTAATTCCCCATTGCCTCGAAAGATACGAGTTCTTATTGTCATTTTACATAAGAGGACACGAAACTTAGAAGGAGCTGTGTAATTTAAGCTCCAAATTCATGTCTGTGTTATATCACCAAATCAAGCTGCTTGCTGGACTCCACAAGCCATCTTAAGAAAATGATTTGTATTATGCTATGGGGAAAATACAGTGGAATGGATTAGGGGTAATGTGAGGAATACATTTTATTGTAGACTACAACACCCATCCGTCTCCCCTCAAAATTGAAGCTAAACAGAACCATAATAAGTATCCAGAACCATCCAGTTGTATGTACATAAACACCTTAGTAGTGGGGGGAGGGTAAGGTTACTGTTCTGTATGCCTGAAGGGTAATTTAGCTTTGTGTAATGAATGTAAGCAAAAAGATGTAAAAATGGGTATATGATTTAGAGCCCACAGACATCCTGAATCAAGTATCCAAGAAGTCTTTGTGAGCTGTTAGTTCAGACAGGAATCTGCAAAGCAGCAGTGACAGTCCCATATCCCTTGCTACCTCTTCTGGGCTGAGCCCAGTAGCCCAGTGATGCTATTCCCAGCGTGTTTTGAATGGCAGCCACTAGATGGCGACCTCATCCCAATCTCTCTGGACAGCGAATCCCTTTTTATTTCCACAGGAAATTACATGCCCTGAAAGCTGTAGTCATAAAGAACTGCAGAACTGAGGGTACAGTAATGTGTATTGCCTCCTTTGGTCATTATTCTTTTATAGAAACTTTAGAATAAAGGTAATTATAAAGTGTGTTTTCTCTTACCACTACTAATTAAAAAGTAGGACTAAGCCATGGAAGACCCAAGTCATCCAGTAATTTGATATTTGATATTAACGAAGTTCTTTCATTTTTCAACCTTATCCCCTTCTTTCCTGCTGATGGAAAAGAGCAGCCATAAGGATAAAGAAATCTGGGAGAAGAAAAGAGCTATTTTGCTTATGAGCTACAACCTTGGATTGCTTCTTACAGTGATAATGGGTTTGGGAATTTTAATTTTAGCTCACAGAAGTTATAAAACCAGGCAATGAAACTAAAATACCACACAGTCCTCAGGTTATTAAGTAGTGTCTTATTGGCTTATTTAGTAATCCCTTTCATGCTGTTTAAGGTTCCCTAGAGTGTCAAATCTTCAGCTAGTTTGTAGAAATGATGCAAAGAATAGGTCAGACTCATAAGAAGTCAAAAGCAAGGAAATAAATATTCCTTAGCCTGGTGGTTTTCATTTATTGTAATGTAGTATATTCCTGGAAAAGTGTTAGGTTCTGCTGACAGTAAAGATTGATTGATTGATTGACTGATTGAGTTGGATTGCTATTATGAAGAATAAGTGAAAAGTATACTTCACTAGGGTTATGCTCCTCAGAATTGGGATCTGATGCTGCATGAATCACCCATTCCACCCAGAGCTTCTTACTAGTACAGAAATTCATCCCATTTTTTACTCTGGTTCATGTTGACTTCTTTCTCTGTCCCTTACCCTAAATAGCACATCTAGCACCTAGCTATAAAAAGTCATTTGCGAAGGACAGTTTGTTCTTTATGTTAATAAATAACAGAATGGATTTTGGAAATATTAGGTAAACAAAATGAAGTGGACTTCCTATTGCAAGATTTACTGGGATCCTTTAATATGCTAATACACATCACTAATCATCAATGATTACATGTGAAGTACTTACCAAGTTTATTTGACTCCAGAAGTTGTTGTTGTTATTGTGATTGTTAAAGCATATACATTTTTTAAAAAGGCATCAAACATTTTTTTAAATTTTTTTTTTTACAAACAGTTTATTGTCAAATTGGTTTCCACATAACACTCAGTGCTCATTCCCACAAGTGCTCTCCTCCGTGCCCATATCCCCCCTCCCCCCCATCCATCAGTCCTCAGTTTGTTTCTCAGCATTCAAGAGTCTCTCATGGTTTGCCTCTCTCCCTTTCCCCCACCATTTCCCCCTTCTTCTCCCCCTTGTTCCTCAGTTAAGTTCCTCCTAATCTTCCTATATGTGCAAACATATGATATTTGTCCTTCTCTGCCTGACTTATTTCACTCAGCATAACACCCTCAAGGTCCATCCATGTTGCTACACATGGCCAGATTTCATTGTTTTTCATTGCCATGTAGTATTCCATGGTATAGATAAACCACATCTTCTTGATCCATTCTTCTTTTGATGGACACTTAGTCTCTTTCCTTGTTTTAGCTATTGTTGAGAGTGCTGCTTTGAACATTGGGGTTCATGTTCTCCTATGCTTCAGCATTTCTGTATCCCTTGGGTAAATTCCTAGCAGTGCTATTGCTGGGTCATAGGGGAGTTCTATTGTTATTTTCCTGAGGAACCTCTGCACTGTTTTCCAGAGGGGCTGTACCAGTTTGCATTCCCACCAGCAGTGTAGGAGGGTGCCCGTTTCTCCCCATCCTCGCCAGCATCTAGAGTTCTCTGATTTAAAGCATAAACTTTTGAAAGATTTTGTTATCGTGGAGAAAAGGGTATGTGAGCGATGGAGCTGGAGGACTGTGGGCAAAATGTGCATCCTTTACTGAGAGTTTAAAGACTTCATTTTCTTAACTTCTCTCCCCATGTCTGGGAGCCAAGGGAAGTCAAGTTGCCTCCTCTCGGTCTTTTCCATTATTTCTTTGCTAAGCTTTTAATGTTGGCTAGGAACTTCATGTAGAAATGGCTATGATCCAAACTCTGACTCCAGAGCAAATGTCTCAAATATAACCTCATTCCTCAGATGTGAGGGATGCTTGCTGTGCTCAGTCCTCTCTGCTACACACTACAGGACATACAGAGGAGGTGAGAAGTGGTTTCTACTTAAAAAGAGATTGTGTTCTAGTAAAAGGGAACAAATAATCAAAATAATCAGAAAATTATTAACATAGAGAAAGGAAAAAATGAATTCTGCATAGTTATTAATAGCTAACAGTTGAAGCACTAGGCACTGTTCTGAGTACATTCTGTGAGGTGACATCTAATCCTGAAAACTTCATGTCTACTTCACAGATGGGGAAACTGAAGCACATAAAAGGTATATAAGTAAGGCAGTGTGGCCTCAGAGCCTACATGCTGGTCCCAGCATATGCCTCATGGGAAGTTACAGTTTGATCCTGGACACATTTTCTATAGGTTTATGTTCTCTGCAGAGTATCATTCTGAGGGCTAGTGTGTAAATGGCTGTTGACTACCAGTGAAATATGGAAGCTAATGTGTGAATAGAAGCCAAGGCAACATAGTTATTCTCGGGAAGGTGTTGGATATGTGCAAATTAGATGGAATGAGATGATGATGGTTGGCCACTGGGAAGGAGCGTGGATCCATCGTAGAAACTTCAGTGTGGAAATTTCACCAGTTAAATTCCACCCACAATAATGTAAGGAGTAAGTCAGGCTTTTTCTCCACTGTGTAGCATTACAAGATAAGATGTGGGTTTTGGAAGTAGACACACCTGGGTTCAATTTGACAGTCTACCATTTACCACCTGTATGAACTCTGATCAGATTGCTTAACCTAAGCTAAGTGTCCGCCTCTCTAAAGCGAGATAATACTGGGGCACCTGGGTGGCTCAGTTGGTTAAGCGGCTGACTTTGGCTTAGGGCATGATCTCACAGTTCGTGGGTTCAAGCCCCACATTGGGCTCTGTGCTGACGGCTGGCAGCCTGGAGCCTGCTTCTGATTCTGTATCTCCCCCTCTCTCTGACCCTCCCCTGCTTACACTGTCTCTCTCTTTCTCTCAAAAATAAATAAAAAACATTAAAAAAATTATTGCAATAATGACATTTGTTAATGTTCCTGAAGTGCCTAGAACAATGCCTGGCATGTAAATAATATTCAGTAGTCTTGTGTTTTCATTTTTTTTATCTTCTTCCAAAATTATTCCTCTTTCCTGTGAAATTTGAAAGCATCTGCTGTGAAGTATGTATATATTAGCCTCTTGAACAGAAAGGGGTTTTAGTCTATAGACAGTGTTCAGAAGAGATGCGGAAAAAGGTTCCCAATTACTAATATTGATTAGATGATACACATATTGAAAAACATGTATAGGGGCATCTGGGTGCCTCAGTTGGTGTGAGCATCTCACAGTCAATCTCAGCTCAGGTCATGATCTCACAGTTTGTGAGATCTGAGCCCTGCGTTAGACTCTGTGCTGGCAGCACAGAGCCTCCTTGGGCGTCTCTCTCTCTCTCTCTCTCTCTCTCTCTCTCTCTCTCTCTCAAACTAATAAAGAAAACTTAAAACAACAACAAAAAACATATATTTATTTGCTTAGTTTGGCACAGGGCTCAAACTTCAAGCAGTCTCTTTAATGCTTTCTCCAGAAGTAATAGCACACTTTTTTGGAAACCTCCATCCACAGCCAAGTGAGTTTCTTTAGCACATGGTGGAGCAGTTCCTTTTCTAATTTGGCTCCATGTTGCACTCCCTGCTCCCTACAACTTCTAGTGGAGGCTCTGTGACTCATCCATTTAAGGTTTTCTTAAATCAGACTATGTCCGTGGGCTATGCTCTCAAATTCCATTGTTAATTTCCTTTCTCTTCCTTACCCTTCTTCAACCTCTCTTTTCTCTGTCAACACTGCACATAATTTTCTTGCTTTACGAAATTCATTTTTGAGTGAGCAGAATTTCCTAACCCCTGAGTTCTGGAGGCCAGTTTATCTATAATTTCTGTAAAAGCTCCCTGTGGACTTTAAAATTATCTCCTTGGGTTTCTTGTGGAATCCTCTTCACCAAAGATCATCCCATTATCTCTTCTTAATTCTCACTGATGATCTCCTTCCTCTCCCCTCCCTCTCCCTTCCCCTACCCATCATCCTACTCCTCCCATTCACATCCTCCTCCTCCTCTCCTCCTCCTGCTGCTTCTTCTCCTTCTCCTCCTTCAAATAAGAATTAGCATGGTTCACAATATTGTTTAGTTCCTGTGTTTCCATGGAGATTGGCTATGAATGATCCCTCCCCATCATTCCCCAGCTCTAGCCTCCAGCCCTGTATTAACAGCTATAGCTAACTGACTGTGGGGTATTTGTTTCAATCACCGCATTGTTCTAGAGCATGTGAATTTAGGTTATGCTAGTTTTCATTTTCATGATCAGCACAACTTTCAATACTAAGTAATTTTATATACTAATTCTTCTACTTTCCCATGTGGTAGCAGATTAATGTTACATTTTTATTTTTGTCTTATTATAATTTTATATTTAAGTTAACCAACACCATTTATTAAATTTTTGCTTATATTAAAAGAATGAGTTGTCACTAGTTGTCAAAACACCACAGAGAAGGTCATAAAATGTAAATCTGGTTTTTGTGCTTATAAACAATTCTTTGCATCAGGTCTGAGTGTGCCCCTAAAGAGATGACGTTAATACTGAGCATCTGAAGGTGAGATCTGGTTGAATCTCCAAGGTACTGAAGTTGAAGGGACCCAAGAAAATATAATCTCCTCCTCTTTCCCCCCCAATCTGAGTTCTAATCTGAGTTCTACATGAAGAGTGAAAAAACAAATGCAAGGCTAGTTAAAGTCAAGTATCATTTTTTTAGTGGTAGCACTGATACTGAAGAATGTGGTTAACATCTACTGAATTTCAGGCTTAGAATTGCCCACTTTAATGCTAACTAATTCAGGACTTGGGTAGGCATCCCCAGTGAAGCAAGACTTGCTCCCCTAAAGTCCTTTCTGTGGGTAAGTAGGGTATGCTGGGTATTTCTTGACGACAGCTTATTCTCATGGGGAGAAAAAGGAAGTGCCAGGGCTGAGCTATGGAAATACAGTTCCTTGATAGATTTTCTTTAATCTTCCAGATTATGTCACTCCTTTTCCTCTGGAAATCTGTAACAGAGTTAGTTAAAGCAATGCTAAGAGTGTCTTTCTAGTGAAGTTTCTTCAGTGTGGGAGGTAATAATAGGATATGGCAGGAGGAAGGATTTTCTCTGCCCTTCCTTCACCACTGGGGCATTAGGACATGATTTGTTAAATTTTAATGATTTATCTATATAAGTATTGAGAGAACCATCTTCTACTTTAGCCATACTAATGCTGTTTTTCTTGCCTTTATTATTAAAATTTCCATTCTCTTCTGCATTTATTTCAAGCCGCCTTCATTACCTCTGCCCCAGTCACTCACTGTTTCTAGATAAGCCATGTAATGAAATGTCTACTAGTTTATTTGTATCAGCTGGAGATTCTTGAATTGCAAATGTCAGACACCCAACTCAAATGCTTGAAGCATAAAAGGGAATCTATTGCCATATAGTTTTAAAAAGTCTGACTTTGACTACTGAATCCAGACCTTTAAATGGTATCATCCTAGAGAAACTTTCTCCCCATTTTGTGGTTGTTTTCTCCGTTAGCTATCTACTCAGGTAGGCCCAAACTCATTATCACAGCAGCTCTGGGTTTTCTTCTTACCCCTTCAACAAGCCTTGTTTACAAAGAAAGCCTTTTTCATAGGTGTCCCAGCAAAAGCCCTGGAGTTGAATATTACTAGAGTTAATTCCTTAATGATTACTGAATACTCCAGCATATGTTGCTGCCAATCCCTTGGTTCTATGGGTGGTCCCTCCACCAGCTATATAAGCTTCACCTTGGAACTTGTTAGAAATGCATATTCTCAAGCTACACCCCAGATTTTTGAATGATAAACCCTGAGGGTAGGACATAGGGAACTATGTGTTAGGAAGCCCTCCAAGGGAGCCAGAGGCATGATAACATTTGAAGACCACCTTGTCAGTCCATATAGATAATGCTGTATGGCTAGGGGCCTAAAATATGTGGAGTGGTCCAGTCTGGGTAGCCTGATTACTTCAAGAGCTGGTTTAGGGCCATCCTCATTCAGCCCAGATGGTTTTAAGATAAAATAAAGAGGGAACTGTTTTATCAGAAATAGCAACAGTTGGTGGCCAGAAAAATATTAACCCATGTTGTACAGTAGAATCTTGCCGTAAGTACTAGGTGGTAAATGATTATATCAAGAAATATTTGGTAGTGAATGCCTAACACTTTTTTGTTGTATCTTTACAGGGTTTAGGGCAATAGACTTTTCTTCTTATAGTATGCATTCCTACCCATTTGTGTTTTTGAATGGACAAGATGGATTGTTTTACCCTTTAACTGGAATTGTCCACAATTGCATATTTTCTTTTATATGATAGAACATTCTGAGCTGCTGCATGAGAGCATGGGATGCAGGGCATGTAGCTCAGAATGGGTCAAGAGTCAGCTCCCTCACTGAGGCCACATTGGCTCCATACTACATTGAATATTTTGTTTTCTGGAACTGGGTATTTTGCATGGACATCTAAAAGATACAGTAAGGATGCCCTGATAAAACATGGTGACTTGTTGGTATCTCCTTTGTGATGTTCACAGGTACGATGGTGGGGGACCACACCCGCTTGGAATTCCACAATATTGAAACTGGAATCATGACTGAGAAACGCTACATCTCCGTTGTCCCCTCCAGTTTCATTGGGCACTTGCAGAGCCTCATGTTCAATGGCCTGCTCTACATTGACTTGTGCAAAAATGGAGACATTGATTACTGTGAGCTGAAGGCTCGCTTTGGACTGAGGAACATCATTGCTGACCCTGTCACCTTCAAAACCAAGAGCAGCTACCTGAGCCTGGCCACCCTCCAGGCATATACCTCCATGCACCTCTTCTTCCAGTTCAAGACCACCTCGGCTGATGGCTTCATTCTCTTCAACAGTGGTGATGGCAATGACTTCATTGCAGTTGAGCTAGTCAAGGGGTAAGTAGAAGACATCACATAGTTTATACCAGGTATCTCAGCTCAAGCCCTACATGAAATATGGACATGAAAAAAAAAGTACCCATTCTGTCCCTACTCTCTGTTCCCAATACATGCTCTCATCCTCATTGATTAAAATTACCTGGGGCACCTGTGTGGCTCAGTCGGTTAAGCGTCTGACTTTGGCTCAGGTCATGATCTCACAGATTGTGGGTTGGAGCCCTGCACTGGGCTCTGTGCTGACAGCTAGCTCGGAGCCTGGAGCCTGTTTCGGATTCTGTATCTCCCTCTCTCTTTGACCTTCCCCTGCTCACACTGTTTCTCTCTCTCTCTCTCTCTCTCTCTCTCTCAGAAATAAATAAAACACTGAAAAAAAATTAAAAAAAAAAAAAAAAGAAACTTGCTTTAAAAAATACCTATGCATGGTTAGGGCTGGAAGAAAGAGAAATTTATTAGTTTATTTAAAGATCTTCTGCAAATTCAATATTATCAGACTTTTTTTTTTTTTACTATAAAATGCAGTCCTTTAAACCTATAGAAAAGAAGCTTATTTTTGCAAAGGAAGCATGTATGGGGTGCACTTCATCTGTCTCTGGGGAAGTGCTATCTGCAACCAAGTTTATAGGAAGAAATGAAACATAGGTATTTTCAGCACTACCATTAGCTCATATATGCAACGTTTTAAAAGCTGTTTTTTTCTGCAAGATATTTTACTACCATGTGTTGGAAAGTAGTCAAAACAAAAACAAAAACTGGAACAAAACTCAGAAACAGATCCACGATCCATTGAATTTACATGCCACCCCTTAGTGTTTTCGAATGTACTGCCTGCACTATTTTTACATAGTGTTAGAGAAGTGACCTATGTAAGTATGGAATTAAAGTCTGATAGGATAGGCTATGGTCATTCTTATAAGCCTAAATCAAGCTTTAATTATTCCTGTGGAATTCCAGGGTAGCATGGGGGATGCGAAGCCCTCAGTGTCAGTTATGTATACATGTTGCCATTAATCAACTCACCGGGGGGTTGTTGTTTCTCACAGGTACATACACTATGTGTTTGACCTCGGGAATGGCCCCAATGTGATCAAGGGTAACAGTGACCGTCCCCTGAATGACAACCAGTGGCACAACGTCGTCATCACTCGAGACAACAGTAACACCCACAGCTTGAAAGTGGACACCAAAGTGGTCACTCAGGTTATCAACGGTGCCAAAAATCTGGATTTGAAAGGTAAACCTTGTAAAGAAGGTTTTCCTGTTTAAAACATTTCTTACAATAGAAAGGCTGTTTTCAGAAGCAAACTGAAGTTTAGGAGTGCTATGTGTTTTTGATACATAATGCATATCCTATTTTTACAACATTAGATTATATCCAAATGCAATTTTTACCTAAACCACTCCTCAAGGGATGATTCGTTTTCTCTGTAAACCTGGGGTATGTGGGGGCTGAGTGTGAGGTGATGGTTGTTAAAATGTGGGGGGGTCATAAAACAGAGGAAAGGATACATACATATATATGTATGTATGTATATATATATATATATATACACGCATATAACACATATATATGTACGTGTATATATATATATATATATATATATATGTAGGTTTTAGAATCTCAGCTGAATCACTTACTGCCTGGGTGACTTTGATAAAATCTCAGCCTTGTTCAGCTTCTGTATGCTTTTTTTTTTTTTTTTTTTTTTTTTTTTTTTTGTTGTTAATTTTTTTTGTCTTTATTGGCTTTTGTGTGTTTTGATGGGATAATGTCTATAAAATCCTCAACATCTTATTGGCAACAGGCACATAAAAAGCACTGAGTAAATGGTGGTTTATGCTGAAAATCTNATCACTTACTGCCTGGGTGACTTTGATAAAATCTCAGCCTTGTTCAGCTTTTTTTTTTTTTTTTTTTTTTTTTTTTTTTTTTTGCAAAATGAGGATAATTGTTGCTGCCTTTATGGGCTTTTATGAGTTTTGATGGGATAATGTCTATAAAATCCTCAACATCTTATTGGCAACAGGCACATAAAAAGCACTGAGTAAATGGTGGTTTATGCTGAAAATCTTGTTATTCTTTACTTCATCATAAAGTGAGAACAATACCTACCTCATAGGCTGAATATGGTGATTAAAATTTGTGAGATCGCATGCAGAAAATGAATGACATAAGGAATGTTAGTTTCCTCTATCTACAGTGTAGAAACTCTGGTCATTAGTTGTTTATGCTGGTGCCCCTCTCCCAGCTATATTATCGTTATCCAAGAAGTGTAATGGTCTAAGGTGCACTGGCTTTAGTTGACATGGTTTCTATACCCTTTACTCATATGCTCCGGCTACTTACTTTCTTTTGCAGGTGACCTCTATATGGCAGGTCTGGCCCAAGGCATGTACAGCAACCTTCCAAAGCTGGTGGCTTCCCGGGATGGCTTTCAGGGCTGTCTGGCATCTGTGGATTTGAATGGGCGCCTGCCAGACCTCATCAACGATGCCCTCCATCGGAGCGGACAGATCGAGCGTGGCTGTGAAGGTACAGCCTCTTTTCTTTTTAAGCAACAGCCTTGTTCGACAAGCCTTGTCGAAAGCCTCTTTGCTGCCTCTGCCAGTGCCTTCTTATTGGTTTACCAGTCGCCTCTCATGCCCATTGGCCATCTGACATTGCGTCATCGTTGGTGTCCTCCTGTCACTGGTTCAGTATGTCAAGACATGGGCCACAGGCTCCGGGAATGTGTGTTGGCAGATGTCTTCCCAGTGTCACATACTTGCCAGTAGAGGACTTTCCCTGGCATTGACATCAGACCCCTCCTGTTCGTACCTTTGCTTACAGCATGGCTGAAAGGGCATTATTTTATTTATGTTTTATACATGGGGAGACTTTTTCATGGGTGTCACCATTAATGAAATGTTTGTAATAGCTATTGCATCATTTAATGCAAACTCAGCAGGAGGTTGGAAAATGATGTCAGAATGCCATGATAAGGGAAGGGAACTCACCTTTATTGAATACTTACTGGATGTCAGGCATTGTTAGGCAGTTCCTTGGTATGATGTCATGGAAAGCATGGATGTCTATGTTAGAAAAGACTTGGATTTAGGTCCAGGTAGAGACTCTTGTTCATTGTGTGACATTTGGCAAGTTACTTAACTTCTCTGATCTCTATCATTCTCACCTGCAAATTGGGGCAATAAAACTTGCTTTGGAAAGTAAGATCTGTAAATCAGAGCTACATATAAAATGCCTGGTGCATACATAGTAGGTACTCAATAAACAGGATTATTATTTGCCTATATTATCTCATGTGAGACATCTAATAAACATTGCATGTCCATCAGTGCAGCACAACAAAACCATGCTCAGCCTGTTTCTGTAGATGATCTACTGTCTCTTTAAGATAGATATTAACTGAATTTTACAGGTCTTCTGGAGTTCAACAGTTCTTTATAAGAAAACAGTCTAGTTTAACCAGCAGAGGGCAGCACTTTTCAGCCTCCTCTCCCCAGGGTCCTTGGGTAGGCTGGAAAGGGGACCCTTATCTAACTTGAAAGGCAAAGATGTCTCTCAGATGAGTCAGCAGGCTCTGTGTATCCTTTTGTCTGGTTGAGCCTCGTGGTCCTGGGTGCAATATCGTATTGTGTGTGTGTGTGGTGTGTGTGTGTGTGTGTTTTCCTCTCTCCTTGACTTACTATGTCAAACCCATTCACCCATCTCCTATGTATTCAACCTCATTTATCGCTCCTGTTCTTTAACCAGCTTTCATTCTGGGTTTGCTGCCACCTTTATAAAAGCCTCCCATCAGCCTCACATGTTGACTTGCAGTATGGAAGTCATTCCCCTTTGCCCGAAAGTCAGCTTCCCATATGATCTAGTAAAAGGATGGATTGTCCCCCTAACCCACTCCAGTTCTCCTTTGGCCAGGAAATTTCTTATATCCACTGGACCACATGTGGCCTGTGCACCTGAGCGAATTAGAGGTTGGGAATCACCCTGCTCTTAAAGTAGCCACTTTGCTTTCTTCTCCTGAAAACCCACACTGTCATTCAAATCAAGAATTGCTGTCTCCTTGGCTTGCTCTTACTTCTTTCAGGGCAATGCTGAGATAAATGTAACATTTGGGAATTAAATTAAATATCTTAGTTTCAAAGATTGTGGGATCACAGAAATTACAGTCTCCTGCAATAATTAATTATACCTAGTTAAAACATAAAAGCACACATGAAAAAGCATAAGGTACTCTTCAGATGTTAGATATCATCATGCCATCCGTTCTTCAGATTTATAAGTGAATAGGAATCATCCACTGAACTCTGTAGCAACGTTGCTTGATAGGAACGTAATGTGAGTCACATACGTAATTTTAAATTTCCTAGTATGGGAGCTACTCGTAACAAAGATATAAAGTAACAAGTAAAGCTGATTTTAATTTTATGTTATTTAACTTTACCCACCATATCCAAAGTATTATCTTCTCAGCATGTAATGGTATAAAAATATTTGCAACACATTTTACCTTCCTTTTTCACATTTAACCTTCAAACCTGAGTCTGTATTTTACACTTGGAACACACCTCAATTCAGACTACATACCTTTCAAGTCCTCAGTAGCTACATGTGTCTGTGGCTACTGTATGGGAAGCCTAGTTCTATAGAGTATAAAAATTTGGGGTGTAAGGAAATAAAACTTTGTATTGGATTAAAAGGAAGTCTAAACTAACTTTTATAAGAGTGGCTTAAAAGGTACAGTATAAAGAGGGGAATGGAGTCCACTTAAGAGAACTTTAAGAGAAGCAGTGAGAGCATTAGCAAAAGGAAATTACCCATCAAATTGGGGGAAATGTTCCCATCCCTCCCTACATCTCTGTGTGCAGTTTGGCATGACTCATCACATGCATTATGGTGGGGCCCCGACCTTCCTCTGAGTATGGGTGATTGTCCAACACCAGATATTGTGACTTGATGGTTCTACCATCTGAATCTGTGGCAAGTCCCCTGGGTCTAATAACCCTGCACTCTATTGCCATGGAGATAATTGCAGTGATTACCTATGGAGCATTATGACCGTCCCACTGGGTGGGATGAAGTGGGGGGGGCGGTGCTGAGTGCTCAGGGAAGAATGTCCTTGTTTATTGTACACAGATGACTTGGATAATTAGCCTAAGTGGCCAGGAAAAATGGCCAAAAAGTGGGTTAAGGCATAAATTACTGCCATTGGAAGTTTACACCATGTGAATAAGCCCTTATAAGAGATCCCAGGAGCTCTTAGGGGACTGTGGAAATGAAGCCAAAGAAGGTGGGGAGGGGAGAATGAGGAGCCCAGAACCTTAGGGAGACTGCAGACAGATGTCATTCTCATTCTGAATCTCTGTACATACTATGGACCCCTTGAGAAGGCCCTTCAGTATGGTGCAGCATGGCAATCATAGGAAATGGAATACATTTCCTGGTTTTATCATTTCTGTATGTAGAATAATAAGTAGGTAGGGGATGAGGATCTGTTACTGACACCAAAGAGCTGCATCTCTTCAAGATGGTAAATGTGTTTTATCCTCTATCTGGGGTATATAGGCCAGGATATATCATATGTTCTTGTCAAAGTCATTGATAATGATTTTTCAAGTAAATGTATTATTTTCCCTTGTATATCTAAGTGCAAAGAATCCAGAATGAATTTAAAAAACATACTAATTCCCTACTCTGCCTCTCAAATGTTTATAGTAAGAAAGAAAAAAAAATCTTGAGCTATGTTTTGATTTTATGTCTCTAATATATGTAGAATATATACTTCAGAAATTAAGCTCAATTTCCGGACTGCCTAGCCAGCATCTGGCTGTGACTTGAAGCCTCTTAATTTGGGCTAGGGATTTTGAAATAATGTCTGGTTCTAGTCTCAGCTGGTAAATATATCTTTCTATCTTGAGGCCAGCTTTGCAGCGAGACCGAGGCATGCACTGGCTGGAAATGCGATTGCCCAATTGCAGATGGTAAACATCTGAGAGAAACACACGTGCTTCATTTCGAGACTGGCATGAATAAACAAAAAGGACATTGGTCTGGTGCCTTTTTGCTCACAGCCATTTGGGTTTGGCTGTATGCCCACAAATCAAACAAATGGAGCTCTTTGGAGGATCCAAGTCACCTTCATGCACACATTCCACATTCAGTTCCACATTCTCCGGTGGCATTTTCAGCAGATTACAAGGAGTGCGCCCAAGCGACTCTTCCATACTTACCTCCTAGATGTTCAGAATTATTTTTGTGGGCTTGGTCTGGTTGTGCACACGTGTCTGTCAGTCTGGCCACACACTACCCTTGTTTTTTGATATTTATCCTGACTCATAAAGAATCATTTTTCTGGACCATATGCCTTGGGGTTGGCTGTGTGGATGTGGGAAGGCTCTTGTTACCACTGCTTGTGCTTTGTCAAGTCCAGTGTCCTCCTGCCCCTTGCTCTGCTGACATGGCTCTGACGAGGCCTGCTCTGCCCTGGTCCATGCATCACCTGTCTGTGCTGTCTCCAGAGAATCTGTAGAGCATTTTATTTGTCTGTTCGAGTGATGTTGGTTATGCCAATTGTATTTTCATTTCTGTAATGTTGCCCTGGTTTACTCTACCTCTTACTAACCTCTGGTTATTGTTTTCGCCTTTTCTGTTCTTTTGCTAACAAAGTTGCGTTGACCAAAGCTGACCTGCAAGGTAGAGAAGGTTCTTGTTGCCATTACCACTTTGGACTGAGAGATGCCCTGTGTAACCCTTGGTATCTTTTCTTTAAGGGCCTTCAAGCTGTCACACCTCTTGGGCAGCATCAGTTTTGGGGAGGGGGCTGAACCCTGTGTTCTTCAGAAACAGTGGCAGAAAACCCAGATCAATGAATGCAAAACAACAAAAGCAAGACCTTTGAGGGATGGGAACATGATTCCATTTTGGGGGGACTAACGAGGTTTGACAGCATCCTGTAGTGTGAAACTCACAAATGCATCAATCCACTTCTGGAAATGGTTAACACCTCTCCAAGTAGTTGCCATGGGTGGGTTGGCTCTTCTTAATTTATTCATTAGAGGAAGGCAACGCTTGGAAAGAGAAAAAAGGGGGAAAAAAGGACCTCTTGAGTTCTTAATTTATAATTTTTTGGGTCAGGGAGGTCATTTATCAGGACTTTTGAGGGCCTGGGCCTTATGAAAGAGAATGCCATTTTCTCTTAACTCATTTGAAAGAAATATTTTTAGGCTTTGGAAGATATCAATGCCATTAAAATGTTCTAGAGATTTATGTTACCTATCGGGGATTTTGGTTGAGCACCTTAACTTCCTGTTTTGTGATCTAAAGGAAAAAGTACTCTTGGGGAAGAGGATGTGTCGGTTTTATCCTGAATACCCTTTAAAAAGCCTGCATGTTCAATGCCAGTGAATATCTACCACAGTCACTGCTCCTTCTGCCATTGAGAGAGGCTCCATCCAAAGTCTGTAATGGGCCACTGGTCAAGTTGTGTCAGGCTACTTGACTCAGAATGGCAAATCAGGAAGGCATTTTAGACA